CCCCCCCAGCCTCTAATAGGCTACTATATCAAAAGCTTTTTCACAGCTCCAGTAAATTATTCCCCAGCTTCACCCATCCGCTTCCCAGCTGACAATTCCTGAAATAAATTAATCAAGGCTATTCAATTATAGCCCTCTTTCTGTAAGGTCCCTCACCGATCCACACCTTTGTGAGATGCTTCTCTCCCCTCTCAGGGCTGCAGCGAGCCCCTGGACGGTGGCTGGAGTGACAGTCAGTGGCCTTTATCCCCAGCCCCTCTGCTTGTCGCTGCACGAGAGGATTTGTCCCCAGCTCCTCTGCAGACCCCAGGACCCCGTGGGACCCTGCCCCAGCTCTGTTCAGGAGCATGTCCACCCAGCTCTAGAGCTTGAGCTGCCCTTCCAGGTGCCAACATCTGTCTCACCCATGTTGTTTTCAATCTTATTTCCTTTCTCCTTTTGTCTCCTGGGAAATTTCTAGAGCCTCCACTCATTTCCCCTCCTGAAGATGAATGAAAAGCAAATACAACCGGGCCACAGGGACATTTAAACGATCTCTGCACCGTGGGGTGGGGGAACTACAGGTACTCGGCAGAAGTGAACTGGAGTTTGGATTTCGTGCTGCCCCTGAGCTGTTCTCTGGCTGAGGAGCCAGTGCTGGGCCAGTCTCCTCTCCCCATGCAACCCCTGCAGGGGCACAGCTTCTGCATCCCACAGGACTGGGGTGCAGTGGGAAGCCACAACACCCAGGACAGCCCCCCTGGGTAACACCAGCCACCCAGGACAGTGGAGACCAAGCAGATGGGTATGGTGCCACGCACGTGCAGACAGCATGCAAGGAGGAGAAGGTGGCATAGCGGTGGGCTGGGACGCTCAGCAGACAGATGGCCACGTTTTTAACCAAAGGGAGGGTGGGGGTATTTTATATTTTTAATGTTTCAGATCAATTTATTTCTAGGTTGCATAAACTACAGATATCGAGAGCAGTCACAAAGTGTAGCTAAGAGAAGTGAGGGAAGACAAGGAGAGAACAGAACCCGAGTGTACAATGAGGTGTGACAATTCCTAATTCCTGAAGAGTCGAGAAACTTGCACTAAAATAAGAGTGAGCAGACATCCAAAATAAGAGTGAGCAGACATCCAAAATAAGAGTGAGCAGACATCCAAAATAAGAGTGAGCAGACATCCTATTTTAAGTGTTTAGTACCGATCGGTTGGACAAGAACTGCTGCGTGGAGAATCCTGTGTCAACCCCACGCATAAAGACAACTCCGCAGAGCAGGAGCTGAAGATGCAGTCCCATCACAGTGCTTGAACTCCCGAAGACTTTGGAAATAATAAAGCATCAATATGAACTCTGTCTCCCAGACAGAACCAGCCTGGCTGGTCAGCTCAGCACACACCACTGTGAGCTCCGCACACACCAGCTTTGCCTGTCCACCATGGCCAGTGATCCCAGGGAAACCCACCGCTTCCCACACACCCATGGCCCCTCCTGCTTTCCCAATGCCAATTCCCCTACCAGCATCACTGTTCCTACCGTAGCCTGCTCCTCAAGCATGACAAACGGCCATTAGAAGTATATTCTCTGTGATGAGAAAACCCAAGAACACTTCACAGCCAAACGCCTCCAACCAGCGCGCACCCTCCAGAGTCTCCTACCTGGCACACGGACTCCATGCAAAGGGTTAGAAAGCGCCATCCCAATCTCAGTCATCCCATACCTCTCCAGCAACGTGTGCCCAGTGATGCTCTTCCATTTCTCCAGGACAGGCACGGGCAGGGCTGCCGAGCCTGATACCATTAACCTGCACAAGGAAAGCCCACGTAAGAAAGTATCCAAGATCACCTTCGCTCCAGGGAATTCGCAGAGTTACATAAAGTCTGCTCCTGCGCAAAGCCTTAAGACAGAAGTCCCAAAAGCCTTTTAACCAGTACCAAAGATGTTCCTCACATGCAGGAGATTCTCGGTCTGAGATGGGCTTTAAGTTAAGATGCCTCCTAGAAGAGACACTGGAGTTCAAACTTGGGTTGCAGGACAAAGTTCTTCATCTCGTGTCAGGCAGGGTGACACATACAATGAGCATGCAGAGCCCTTCTGGCTCTACCATGCAAGAGCGGCTCATAATTAAATAAAGTCACCCTGGCTCTTGTCAAAGAGACACTAAAGCACAACAACCAGCAACGCAAAGAGGTGATATTGAAAAGAAACCTTGGCAGATCCACCATGGGGACAGCCGGCCACCAGCAGCCCCTGCCCAGAGGCACATCGCTCACCCACCTGATGTTCTCCTGGCAAAAGGCACGCACGAAATCCTGGACTTGCGGCTGAGAGAAATGCTTGTCATAATACTCTATCAGCTTGGCATAGATAGTGGGCACTGCCATGAAGACGCTGACACGGGGAGCTTGGGAGCTTAGGAACTTCTGCCAAACCTAGAAAGGAAGGGAACACACACATATAAAAGCACACCTCAGGGTAAAGCGTTGGGGAAGCGATGGCCAGCGCTGCCGTGCTAACTCCTCTGCACCTTTGGAGAGGTCCACAAGCAAGAGCTCTGCAAACGCTTCGTGGGGCAGTGAGCCCCACCACCGCTCCTTCACACGGTGCCAAGGGAAACTGAGGTACGGGAGTGCAACAGCAAAGCCACCCTGGCTTGTTCGCAGTCAAACCTCCGCTACCTAAGGCTTCTGGAAAGTACAAACAACTGGAAGCCTGCTGCGTGCACCTCATCCACGTCCAGAACGATGGCTCCTGACCCTCATCACGTCCCTTACTGCCAAAGCACAATATTCAACTCACTCATCCCACCGATGGATCACCCGCCTGCTTTCCCTCTCAATGCACACAAGGCGATGGAAACTGCATTTTTTAGTACTGTCATGTTACAGCCAGGAATTTGCTCATGAAGACACACGCTTTGTGGTAGAACCAGTTAATTCCTTTATCATGCACAGCTCTTCAGAGGCTACACAAAGCCACCGGCTTTTCAAAGCGTGAGAGCTCTTCTTTGGAAAGACACTAAGCCACATCTGCAGAACACGATACATAGGTAGGTGCCCACAGACTCAATCCTTTGAGGAAGAAATGCTTTTAAGATGGATGGCAGGGCTGGGAAGAGAGATATCAAGCACTTGAACTGCAAGTAAGACTCTGCTGCAATGGAAAGGGTTGTCTTCTGGCGAGCGGGCGCAGAGACGCGTCCCCG